TCACCGAAAGGGGTTCCGGGCAACCCCCGACAAGCTATAGGGGCTTAATGGGCCTACGGAGGGACAAACCAGCCCAGAGGGGGCTGGTGCACCCCTCCACCAGGCCGGCCAGCCCTAGGGAAGGCAAGGAAGGAGGGATAGCCCCTCTTTCCTTCCCCTTCTCAAGGGAGAAAGGGAAAGGGGGGCACCTCCTCCTTCCTTCTCCTAGTGCCAAAACAAGGAAGGGGGGCCCAATTGGGGTGGGAGCCCAAGTAGGTCTCGGCTTACTTGGGCGCCCCCCGGGTGCCTCTTCCCTCCTCCAACCTATATATATGTGGGGAGGGGGCGCCTAGAGAACACACAAACATCTATTAGCGGCGTGCGGTGCCCCCTCCACAGTTTACGCCTCCGGCCATATTGTCGTAGTGCTTAGGCGAAGCCCTGCGCGGATCACTTCACCATCACCGTCACCACGCCGTCGTGCTGACGAAACTCTCCCTTGACACTTTGCTGGATCAAGAGTTCGAGGGACGTCATCGAGCTGAATGTGTGCAGAACTCGGAGGTGCCGTACGTTCGGTGCTTGATCGATCGGAACGAGAAGAAGTTCGACTACATCAACCGCGTTGTCAAACGCTTCCCTTTCGGTCTACGAGGATACGTGGACACACTCTCCCCCTCTCGTTGCTATGCATCTCCTAGATAGATCTTGCATGAGCGTAGGAAATTTTTGAAATTGCATGCTACGTTTCCCAACAATCTCCTCATCACCGTATGAGGAATCGTCGGAGTCGTAGAGAAAATTATGGAAAAAGAACTCGTCGGCGGAGTCCATTTGTACCTTGGGGGCAAACTATCGAACAACTTGTCGGCGTCGTCGAAGAAGCTGGTCGGCGAAGAGATGCACGCCTCCCCTGGACCAGGTAGCTGGCCCGGCGGCGTCCGACGAGCGTGGCGGTGTCAGGCGAGCACGGCGGCATCAGATGAAGGAGCTGGTCGGGGCCGCGGGGGGCAACTTCGTGCTTGCGGCGATGTCGAGGTGGGGGGTGGGAAGCTGCGGTGGCCCAGCAACGAGGCAGTCACGGCGGTGACGTGGGAGGTGGCGGGGTGCGGGGGAGGTGTGTGGGCGTGGACTGTTGGCAGGGACGTCGAAACTAGGCGGCGACGGCGACGGGGTGGAGCAGCAAGGGCTTGCTGTCGATAGGGGTGGAAGAGAATGGCCAATGTGACACCGACTGATGGGCCAGGGGGAGGAGTAGCCGCGCGTCGCCCGCCTCTGCTTTGTGTCTGCACCGACGCAAATGAGGCCTAAATTTGGGTCAGAAATGGGTCGGCAGGCAGACAAAAACCAGACGCGCGTTATTTTGGGTCGGCACGTTGGACCGATTTTTCTGTGCGCGGTGACTCAAACGAACATGCACGGAGCAAATGGATGTCTAATTCAAGGAGCCCGTTTAACCAAGCATCCTCCTTAATCAGTTGGGGATGTAGACAGGGGCTGCATCGTTTTCCCCAAAAAGATGAGCGGGACAGCAAGTTCCCTTCAACTTGCATCAACAATATGGCAACTGCAAAAAAAATAAAAAATACTGCAGATACTTGACCCAAAAAATGAAATGGAACACATAAAAAGCTAGACAAAAAGAAACAGGATAATGTGCACACAATCACAACGTTACTACTTTAAAAAAAAAACTATGTCCATGGCACATCGATTTGCAAAACCAGCTCCTCGGTGACGTTCAGCATCGGGTGTCGTGATGCCCTTTCACTTGGCTCGGCTCTAGTCCTCGTGACGCAGTAGAGCTGTCTACGGCTCTTTGTAATAACGTCGTGTTTTGGAAATACTCGCTCCGTTTTTAAATAAAGTCCTTACGTACAAACTGAGTGAATCTACACTATAAGCTACGTCTACATACATATCCGCATATGGTTTATATTAAAAAATCTCTAAAAAACTTATATTCAGAAACGGGTGGATGGAGTACACGTTTAGAGGAAGTAATGGGTTTTGGACGGAGGTACATATGAACAAAATGAGTGAACCTACACTCCAAACTACGTCTACATACATCGGCATGTGATTCATATTAAAATCTTTAAAAAGACTTATATTTAGAAAAGGATGGATGGAGTGCACGCTGCTTAGAGAGAAAGTAAATGGGTTTTGGGCGGAAGCGTGAGCGCGAGCGGTAATCAGCGCGCCGAGGTAGACGACAAGCGAGGCGGGGAGATAAGGATGAGGGCAGCCGCACGTGCCCTGCGGCTCGACAGATGGACCCAACTGAAATTTAGGAAGCATCCATGCCAACAAACAGGAGAGTGTGATAAAGCCACTCGTAGAGCGGAGACGCCACAGAGCAGAGCAGAGCGGAGGAGCAGAGCGGAGGAGCAGAAGGAAAGGAAAGAAGAGCGAGGAGGGAGGGAGAGTGGGAGACGCCGGAGGGGAAGGAAGCACGACCGCAGAGAATTCAGATCAAAGCAAAGGTTTATATCCCTCTCCCCTCTCTCTGACGCAGACGTCGTCGACCCCTTTTTCTCCTCTGATATTTCAGTGATTTAAACGCTCTTGTATTTCTTTACGGATACGGAGGGAGTAATAATTTTATATGCGCCGAGAAAGAAAGAAAGAAAAAAGAGGCCATCTTCTTCGTCTGCTCCATGCGTATGTGCGTACAGTAGGCTCGCCCCGCCCTCTCCTTTTATACCCCTCCTCTGTTTCCCTGCGGCTTTGGGTGGGAGGACAAGAAGAGAGCAGCAGCAGCAGGAGGAGGGGGAAGCAAATGCGCAGCGCTGGTGAGTCCTTTGGATCCGGGCGCTAGGGCTCCTTTTCCTCCTCCTTCTTCACCTGGGTGTTGGGCTGGTTCTTGATTTTCGGCGGAGATGGCCCGGAGCAGCGCCAGGCAGCTAGCGGCCATGGACCGCAATTCTCCCTGCTCTTCTCGAACGGATCGTGGCTCGAAATTCTCGAGCAGCCCTTAGAACGTCGCCGCGCGGAGGAATGACGGCCGATTGGCTCGTTCCGCCGCAGCGGGGTTTTAGACGGGGTGCGGTGCAGCCGTGGAACCGGAAGCTCGATTTGGAGACGAACTGCTGAATTACGGGTGGAGGGTCAGTTCTTGATCTGGCTGCTTTCTTCCATCTGACGGGCAATGGTGTGGCGTCATCCGAGTTCCTCCGGTTTTCCTTTTCCCAGCGGGATAAGGGCGGAACGGGCCAAAGGAAGCGGCGCCTTTTTCAGCCTGGCATCTAGAGCGGGTTTCACTGCGGCGTTCCTGCCTTTTTCTTCTCTTTTCTTTCACTGGTGCGCTTTTGTTGCGACTCCACAGCAACAATGCTTTGGAATCTTTCAACTCGTCTCGGCTCAAATGGTGTCCGCTAAACCTTGCAGCTGCACTTTCCCTTGCTAGTTTTTCTTCCCCAATGCTGTTTACAGAGTTGAGTTAAGCTTAGCAGTTAGCACCAGTAGAAGCCAGCGTATTATCTTTTAATGACCTGCTTCCTCGTTTGAAACTATAAGCTGTTCTAACTTTTTTTTTTTGAATTGGATGTATATAGACGCGTTTCAGTGTGTTTGTTCACTCATTTTAGTCTGTTGGTAGTCCATATTGAAATATCCAAAACATCTTATAATTCGGGACGGAGGTACTCCAGTATTTATGCTCTCTACTTCTCTAGACCAGTGTTACTAATTGTGTGATACTCTTGTGTGTAAAGCTGAGATTACTCATGCTGCTATGCCTTTTCTTATTTCAGAGTAATATCGTTGGAGGTTCAGTTTTGGTGATTACGCCTATACTACGATGCTTTGGATTTATGTCATTTTATCTTAATTGGTTTGGGAACCTAGGGCCACGTGTATTAGTTCACAAGAGATCATTTGCATCTGAATTTCGGATCTGTCGTTTTGGCGACATGTTCATGTGCAGTGCTCTGTTTTACTCTGCCAACCGTGGGTTGACAGTGAGTTCCAGCTGTTCCAAAATTTACAGGGAATGCCAAAGTAGATTAGTAGAATGATTTAGATCAATGGTAGATCTATCATCTCATGTATATTAGCAAATTGAATTAGATTTGCTGTCACATCATATTATACAGCAAATCTATGCTTCCTCAGGTTGACGTGAAAGGCGTTTATGTTCATTTTTTTTAGGTGTTTTGATGTTGTGTGCAAATCTTTTCTTTAAAACTATTTCCTTCTGGTCAAGCTCTACAAACACAGTAGTAGTTCTCTAACCATTTCCCCTGCAAGTTGGCAATTTGTCCTGTTATGCTATCTGAAAGTCCAAACATAGCTTGTAGAAGGATGCCATATTAAAAAAATGAACATGTTATCTACTTGCTTTTCCAGTTTCCTCGATTGTCACTCTTCTGTGTTCTAGAAGGTGGCCCCATGTTGTAATATTCTACCGCAGGTTTATTTTACACATTTGAGGTTATGCATGATATTTCTAATTGTATAGTCAGTTAACATAAAAGTGACAAAATAGCCTTGCTGATGCATGTTTTAATATTGGTTGATGGAGGTTATCTTTCACTGCCAATTGTCAATTGTGACATCCCAGTTAATAAGGAAAGCGCTGCTATGATGGTGATATGCACTATATAGGATAACAGGGTGTATGGGATTAGGTGATGATATTGTATAGGATTGATCACATGCCTCTGTTCACCGTTTTGGCATCTTTCTGGCTGAAGCTATTAGAGATTATCTCTCTTTTTCAACATGAAACTATTAGGAACTTAAGAACTGTTTCCATGATTGAACTTTGAAGTTTTCTTAAGTTCTGATGTTCTGTACATGATATTTTGCAGGATAGATTTTATTTTGCTTTTCAAGATTTTGGTGCCTTGCTGAAAGCTAGATTATGTAACTATGTTGCAGTTTTCTTAAATTCTGATGTTCTGTGCACGAGTTGGATCACTTCTGCTGGACCTCCTTGTTGATAATATATTGGTGCTTTTTGTGCAGGATTATTTGGTGTGGTAATAACTCGGTAGAGTTCTAGGCTGAAGCAAACAATGGAGAGGGAAATGGCTGCCTCATATGAGCCAAAACTAAACAGTGAAATAAGGATTTTTGAGAGTTCAGATGAGATAGTAACAGATCTAGCTGAGTATATCTCCCAAGTTTCAGAAATCTCTGTTAAAGAAAGGGGATACTTCGCTATTGCCCTATCTGGAGGGCCCCTTGTCAGTTTTTTGAGGTAATGAATTTTGCTATTCTTTGTTAGCTAATATGCTATATATGTTTCTGTGCAAGAATTTTCAATACAGTTTGCATTATTGCATCTGAAATATCTTGTTTTTAATTTATGAAAAGGAAACTTTGTGAAGTGCCATACAACAAGACCCTGGATTGGTCTAAATGGTACATTTTCTGGTCTGACGAACGTGCTGTAGCAAAGAACCATGCAGACAGTAACTATAAGTTAACAAAAGAAGAATTTCTATCAAAGGTATGTGGACTTTAGGAGAAATTTTGCTGTATAACCTAGAGCATATATTAGTTTCTGGGTATTTGTTGCCTGAGTTTCATTTTACATTGTGCTTATGAGATGCTATTTATACCTTGCATGAGATCCATCATGCATAGTACTTTTCTTCAGTATATCAAGTCAAATAGCCAATAGCAGTTCCCAGATGGGTCATTCAGGGTTTTCCTTTTCCTTTTCCTTTTCTGTACTGCGTATGGTGTTAGATTACAATTTGCGTATCAGCTATGAGGGAAAAGAGCTGAAGTGGGTATATTTGAAATTGTTACACTGTAGAAATCTCAAATCAAGTGCCATGTGTAATGGAGTATTATTATTGGTGTCCACTGTTAGTAGATTATCCTGCCTGTCAATCCAATTGATTGTACGATGGACCTGTGACTTCGTACTATTATTGTTCGCCGAATGTTCTGAGTATTTGGTGCTTGATAAATGTCCAAGTTGTTGGACTTTTGAGAGTTAATTTCAGTAGTCAAAAGTGTAAGTGTTGGCCAGAAGAATTCAGTAGTAAGGACCAACCGATGGGCTACAATAATATATTAATAATCAAATATTTCATGTTCTCTATTACAATAAAAAAAAGTTCAAAGAAAGACCAGGTTTAGAGTTGGAAAATATAACATGCCTTGGCTCAGAGTTGTATTGCAGTCTCATGTCTTTTTCTCATTTGGCATATACTCCCTCCGTTCCTAAATATTTGTCTTTCTAGACATTCAAATGGACTACAAGATACGGATGTATGTAGACATATTTTAGAATGTATATTCACTCATTTTACTTCGTATGTAGTCACTTGTTGAAATCTCTAGAAAGACAAATATTTAGGAACGGAGGGAGTAGTACATTTTACTTGCCCGAATACTGTTCGTTGTGCTTTCATACTGGTATTTTAACATGGTGAAAGACACAAATATGCAATATTATTATTATGTAAGTTAAGAATATCACCCTTCTGTAGATTCTGCATATTAGATACTGGTGGTTGCTCTGGTAGCTTGTGAGTCAGGTAGGCCATTTTGCTATACCATTTCCTGGTAGTCTGCTATGTTCAGATTGTTCGGTATCATTTGGCAACCATGGGAACCAGATTAAGACTTCCTAACAGCTACTTCAGTAGTTCCAACTTCCAACTACTCTTGCAACCCCCACCACCAACCACACCCTATCTTCTCTCAGGGTCATCTCCAGTCTTTATTGTCAGACTAAGAGCTTATCCAAATGAGTACTCTTGATTGGAACATGATGATTGCCTCTGGCACACCTGTCTTAAGTTGCACCAACCACATGATTTATGTAGTTGAAGGAGTTTAAGGCAAAGTCTGCATCTTTTTTTTTCCCATGAGACAGGTGAAATCAGTTCTTGTGCAAAGTCTTTGATCATGTGTATTTTCCCCTGCATACCAGTGCCCTTGCCATTTTATGTTACATAGATTCCATGATTTCACTTTATTTGGTTTATTATCTTGCACCAACAAGCAAAAAAGATGCAGACATTATTTAGTAGTACAAGAATATGGTGTTCCGCCGTGATACTGAATTCATTTGTTTGCACCAAGTTAACCATCTGTTGTATCTAAATTTTTTCTAGGTACCTATTCTGAGTGGCCATGTCTACTCCATAAATGACGGCGCCACGGTGGAGGACGCAGCAACGGACTACGAATTTGTCATCAGGCAGCTGGTCAAGATCCGCACTATAGGAGTCTCAGAGAGCAACGACTGCCCCAAGTTTGATCTCATCCTCCTCAGCATGGGCTCCGACGGACATGTGGCCTCATTGTTCCCTAACCACCAAGCCCTCGAGCTGAAGGACGACTGGGTCACCTACATCACGGACTCCCCGCAGCCTCCACCCGAGAGAATCACCTTCACCCTCCCTGTGATAAACTCGGCGTCAAACATCGCGATCCTCGCGACGGGCGTCGACAAGGCAAACGCGGTGCATTCAGCCGTGTCTGACAGCAGCGACGGCCTAGACGCCGCCGCCCCGCTGCCTGCCAGGATGGTCCAGCCAACGGACGGGAAGCTGGTGTGGTTTCTGGACAAGGCGGCCGCCTCATCACTCGAGGCGCTGTCTGACGATGCCTACCAGCAGCAGCATCTGTGAGTACTAGCTTAGTGAGAACAGAGTGGAGATTCCTTTGCTGTGAAAAATTAAGGCGTGTAAGTAGTTAGGTGGGTGGATCATATGATGGAACAAGGTTTGCTTCGTTCGACGCCTTTAGTCCTCTTCGTGTTAGTCCGACGGATGGTTTGTTCCGGGAAATCGGAAGCGCCGTCAGTTTCGGCAGACGACGGAGATGGTTTTGTGCGGCGTTGATGTTTATGCGGGCGTTGTGGCCTCAGAGTTGAGAACATTAAGGCCTGAATTGTGGCCAGTTTTTATGGTATTGGGAACTCCATTCTATCTAGCTAAGATTGGATTCGTTTGCAGGCGTGTTTTTTCTTGTGTGTGGCTGATCCTGTCTGTTATTTGAAGCGCTGCCTGGAACCCAGAGCTATAGATTCGTCTGGTTTTACCTGATGTGGGTTCAGTGATTTTCTGCCGTCATATTTCTCGTGATTTCTTGTGTTTGCGAGATGGAATTTGGTTCGACGTAATTTTGTTGAATTGCTGCCCAAAAGGAAAGGCTCTGAAATTTCATTCTTGAAATAGGTGGCTGTACAAGCATGTGCATTGCCATTATCCGCACCGTTTTTTGCCACTTTGCATACTTGTCCCATGTCAGCCTGGTTGAGATAATACAGACAAAAAACCAACATCTGCATGTTGATTGGTTGCCTGCATACTCTTAAATATTTTGAAGCAGATATTTTTGTAGCCTGCCACTTGTCCATCGCATACTTCCCGTAAATTGTAAACCCTCCGAACTCACCCTCAGAACTCTCCCTCGGAACACCACATACCACTTGTTCTAATATGGCAAAAGAGCAAACAATTCAAGCATCAAGCAATGGAGCACACTAGACATGAAATATAAGTAAGCATGCATGATCATACAACACAACAAGTTCATCCTACCACTATTATAGTGTCATCCTACCATCAAATCCAAAAGATGGCGTTATCCTACTACCGCTAATTGGTCATCGCCATGAGGGTTATTATACTACCTCATAAAAAATATACAGGCCAACATCTAGAGTTTATCAATCCCCCATAAAATGAATTTTAAAAAGTTCATTGCTTGATGTAGGTTTAGAGAAGTCATGAATTTTAAAAAGTTCATGAATTAGAAAAAAGATCACAAATTAGAGAAAAAAATCATGAATTTGGTGAAAGTTTGCAAGAAGATTACGAATTTAAAAAGAATCAAAATTTAGAAAATGACTGTTAATTTGGAAAAAGTTCACGAAGATAAAAAAGTTCACCAATTTTATTTTCTTAATTGATTTTAAAATATTCTATTTTTATAAAAAAAATCATGAATTTTAAAAAGAACATGAATTTGAAAAGGGATTGATAAACTCTTGATGTTGGCCTGCATATTTTCTATGAGGTAGTATAGTAACCCTCATGCCGATGACGAATTAGCGGTAGTAGGATGACACCATTTTTTGGATTTGATAGTAGGATCACACCATACTAGTGATAGGATGAACTTGTTGTGTTGTATGATCATGCATGCTTACTGCTTGAATTGTTTGCTCTTCTGCCATATTAGGACAAGTGGTATGTGGTGTTTCGAGGAAGAGTTTCGAGGGTTTACAGTTTATGGGAAGCATGCGATGAACAAGTGGCGGGTTACAAAAATAGCCGCATCAGAGTGTTTAAGAGTATGCACGCAACCAATCATCATGTAGATGTTGGTTTTTTGCCTATATTATCTCAACCAGACTGACCTGGGACAAGTATGCAAAGTGGCAAAAAACAATGCGGATAATGGCAATGCATTGTACAGCCACCTATTTGAAGAACGATCAGAACCTTTTGGGCAGCAATTCACCAAAATTACATCGAACCAAATTCTATTTGGCAAAGACAAGAAATCACGAGAAATGTCACGGCAGAAAAACACAGAACCCACATCAGGTAAAACGAGACGAATCTATAGCCCTGGTTCTAGGTGGTGCTCCAAACAACGCACAGGACCATACCAGCTACTCCCTCCGTTCCAAATTACTCGTCGTGGTTTTAGTTCATATTTGAACTAAAACTACGAAGACTAATTTGGAACGGAGGGAGTACATACAAAGAAAAACATGCCTGCGGAAGAATCTAACCTTAGCTAGATAGAATGGGGTTCACAATACCATAAAAACTGGCCACAATTCAGGTTTTAATGTTCTCAACTCTGAGGCCACAACGCGCGCATAAACATCAATGCCGCACGAAACCATCTCCGTCGTCCGCCAGAACTGACGGCCCTTCCGATTCCATGGAACGAACCATGCGTCGGACTAACACGAAGAGGACTAAAGGCGTCGGACGAAGCAAACCTTGTTCCATCATATGATCCACGCACCTAAGTACCTACACACCTCCATTTTTCAAAGCAAAGGAATCCCCGCTTTGTTCTCAGTTAGCTAGTACTCACGATGCTGCTGCTCGTACGCATCGTCAGGCAGCGCCTCGGGTGATGAGGCTGCCGCCTTGTCCAGAAACCACACCGGCTTCCCGTGCGTTGGCTGGACCATCTTGGCAGGCAGGGACGCGGGGGCGTCTGGACCGTCGCTGCTGTCAGACACGGCCAAATGCACGGCCTTTGCCTTGTCTACGCCCGTCGCCAGGATCGCTATGTTTGATGCCGAGTTTATTACATGGAGGGCGAAGGCGATTCTTTCGGGTGGAGGCCGCGGGGAGTCACCGGCGAGCACCAGCCATGGCGGAGATGACGTCCACGATGCCGAGCCGTGGAACGACGGCCGCATCCCCCAGGTAGATGGAGGCTGTTCCTCCAAATGACGGCTCGACCACACCCTCTCAAGGCGCGGAATCGCGGAGAGCCCCTCCCTCCAAGCCGCACGACGCGGAGGCAACCTCCCGCGGCAGCCCGCGGTCAGGTCCGGTTCCCCAGCCCACACGGAGGCGCCACACAATGCACAATGCGAGGCGATGGCGTGGCCGCTGCGTCACGCGGCAGCCCTCGGCCCGATGATGCTCCTGGCGCGACCACGACTATTGGCCTCAGTACAAATTAAGGCAGCGCCACGAGAGGCACAAGGCCCTCATCTCCCGGCCCTGGCGCGGCAACCCCAGCGCGCGACGCATCCCGGCGGTGGCCAATGGCTGCCTCCACACGCGGAAAACAAAACAACGCCGACAAGGCGGATCAACAAAACGAAGAAGACACGCGATGTGAAAGTTGTCCCACCACGCTCCTAGTGCTTCGAACCACGCGAAACAAGCAACACACTCAGGAGGGGAAGCGACGGCGACGACGCTGCTGCCCGGACAAGTCCCGGGGTTTCCCCCGATACGCCGAGGGAGTTGGGTAGGGGTAAAAACTAACGCCCTTCAGGAAGGGATGGTGGCGCACGCAGACGTCCCCATTGTCGGCGTCAAACCTCGACACGGATTTCTCTCGACCCTCACCCCGCCATCAGACGCTTCGAAGCCCTCCACCACACACACCATCAACCAACATACGCCACCATGGCCTTGTCATCGTGGACGCCGTCTCACCGAAGCTAATATGCAATGCTTGAAAAAAAGGGACGCACCTTTGCTGGAAACCAGGAGCAGCAACACCGTAGACACGCGGGAGGGACCGACCTCCACCATCGAGGCAGTAGCCGACCTGACGCAGCAGCAGAAGCACACCAGTCCCGCGGGCCCGCAGGTCCGACCAAGCCTCGAAGGGGCCCGTGAAGCCCCCGCCATCGCGATGCAGCAGGCACACCATCGTTCTGCGCTCCACTTCCGAGCAGGAGCGCATCTCCATCCGACAGCGCCGGAGGACCGAACCGGCCCGCCTATAACCCAGATGGGGCCCAAGGGCCCAGATCTGGGTCGGGGGCGACGCGTCGGACCAGCTCACCGGCGGCCACTACCGAATCGG